TCTGTCAGGGGTCCTTTGAATGCAATATTCCTGCTCCTTGGCAGAGGGTTGGACTGGATGGCCCATGAGATCTCTTCCAACTCTATGATTCTATGCTGTGATAATGCAGCATTCATTAAGAGCCACATCACTATTTTAATGTGGTGAGATGTATTCCACACTAGCCATGCGGATTTAGCAGCAGAGTAGCTAAGCGCAAGGGCAGATGTCTTCACTGTGTCTAGTTGTGATCCCCAGGTTGTGCTAGAAATAACATCCGTATGATATTATTTCTATCACCTACTTTTTACTTGATATTCAAGCAGTGCTTCTTATAAGTCAGAGCACGGTCCAGAGTGACTCCCGGGTATTTGGGTGTGCTGCAATGCTTGTAGTGGGATTCCTTCCCAGGTAATCCTCAGGGCTCGGGATGCATATCTGTTCTGAAGGTGAAAAGCACACGTCTGTGTTTTAGATGGATTAGAATCAGCTGGATCTCCCTGTAATAGACAGTAAGAACACCTAAAGCTCTGGAGAGCTTCTGTTCAACCATTTCAAAGCTCTCTGCTTGGGCGGTGATGCCACAATCGTCAGCATAGTTGAAACTCTCTCTCCCATCTGGCAGTGGCTGATCATTTGTGTAAATGTTAAACATTGATGGAGTGAGCACACTCCCCTGAGGCAGACCATTCTTCTGTTTTCATCATGTGCTTCTTTGGCCCTGGAATTCAACAAGAAAGCGCCTGTTTTGTAACAGATTTCCTATGAAACGGGTGAGGGGACATGAGAGAAGCCTCCCTGCAAGATTGCAACACACCGGGGCATCCCCTGGGCAACGTCTTTGTAGATGGCTGATTCTTTCACACCAGAAGTGACTAGAGGAAACTTGCAACATGTCAAAATAATGAGAAATAGAAAGAGTCTCATCCTCCACAAAGGCTTGAAATTTTGGGGAAATTGCACAGGGGAAGGTGACATTCTTCACGTCGAACGCACTGTTCTCCATTTGTCTGGCTTTGCAGAAATTTGTGTGATTGGCTGACAAGGAAAAAATAGAAACAACATGCAGCTGCTGTTGTTATTCACATCATCCCGCTCCCACCCCAGACAATTACAGAGTATGTCACATTGAGAAAAAAAACTACACCTTAAAATGTAGCTTGCCTGTTGATCCTCTTGCGTCCCACATTCTATGCGGTTTTCGAAGTGTCCCCACTTTCTCTTTCCTCCTCTGCCTTCATCCTCGGCTCACTTCAAGTCCTTCAAGCCGAGTTCAAAACACAAAAAAGGGGATTTGGGACTTGACTGATCCAGACGCAAAGCAGGCAAAACAAGGGAAGAGTCTCCCAGTGAGCTTTGAAACGAATCAGAGAGATAATAATAATAATAATAATAATAATTATTATTATTATTATTATTATTATTATTATTTGTGTCAGGAGCAACTTGAGCAACTGCAAGTCGCTTCTGGTATGAGAGAATTGACTGTCTGCAAGTACGAGGGGTATTTTTTAAAGTAAGGTCCGTTTTGTTGTAGACACGAGTAGTTCGCGCGCATACCGCAACGAGTGCGTGCTTCGTGTACCGGCATGCCTCGGGAACAACTGTGCTCAGTTTCCGCTCTGTAGCTAACCTGTACGGTTCTGTTCTGTGCTTTAAAAATGTTTAAGACTATCAACTCGCCCTCCGCATGTGAGGTTCGCTCAGTGATACGGTTTTTGTCAGCAAGGAACCTGCCTGCTGCAGAAATTTAAAAATTGGTTCAGAGGTATGATAAGTGTTTGAACAAACTTGGCAACTATGTTGAAAAATAGAGTAAAGTATGTACTTTCTGAAAATAAATTGATTTTTTGAAATAAACTTTCGTTGTGTACTTATGTTCCAACGGACCTTACTTAAAAAATACCCCTCGTACATTGCCCAGAGGACGCCTGGATGTTTTGATGTCTTACCATCCTTATGGGAGGCTTCTCTCATGTCCCCACATGGGAAGCCGGAGTTGACAGAGGGAGCTCATCCGTGCTCTCCCCGGATTTGAATCTGTGACCTGTCAATCTTCAGTCCTGCCGGCACAAGGGCTTAACCCATTGCGCCACCGGGGACTCCAATAACAACAACAACAACAATACTTTATTTATACTCCACTCCATCTCCCCAAGGAGACTCAAAGCGGATTACAAAATACACAGATAGGCAAACAATCACTGCCTTTAGAATGAATGATCATCAAGTTTGCAGATAACACCAAACTGGGAGGGATAGATAATACCCCAGAAAACAGGAGCAGAATTCAAAACGATCTTAACAGATTAGAGGGATGATGGGCCAAAACCAAGAAAATGAAGTTCAACAGGGACAAATGCAAGACACTCCACTAAGGCAGAAAAAAGGAAAGGCAAAGATACAGAATGGGGGATGATGCCTGGAACGACAGCAGTATGTGTGAAAAGATCTTGGGAGCCCTTGTGGGGAGGCAGTTAAACATGAGCCAACAATGTCATGCGGCAGCAAAAAAGCCAATGGGATTTTGGCCTGCATCAATAGGAGTCTAGCGTCTAGATCCAGGAAAGTCATGCTACTCCTCTATTCTATTCCGCCTTGGTTGGACCACACCTGGAATACGGTGTCAAATTCTGGGCACTGCAGTTGTCCAGAGGAGGGTGACTCGAATGATCAAGGGTCTGGATTACAAGCCCTATGAGGAGCGGCTTCAAGAGCTGGGTATGTTTAGCGTGTAGAAGAAAAGGCTGAGAGGAGACATGATGAGGGCCATGGATCAAGATGGGAGGGGAAGGCACAGGGAGGAGGGAGCAAGCTTGTTTTCTGTTGTCCTGGAGATTCGGACGCAATGGAACAATGGCTTCAAACTACAGAAAAGAAAGGAGATTCCACCTGAACATGAGGAAGAACTTCCTAACGGTGAGAGCTCTCTGCCTTGGAGTGTGGTGAAGGCTCCTTCTTTGGAGGCTTTTAAACAGAGGCTGAATGGCCATCTGTTGGGGGTGCTTTGAATGCGATTTTCCTGCTTCTTGGCAGAATGGGATTGAACTAGATGGCCCACAAGTTCTCTTCCAACTTTATGATTTTGTGATTCTATACACAGACAAAGGTAAAGGCTTCCCCTTTCATCTCTGGCTTCCGGAGGTGGTGCTCACTGTGGCCATGGCCAAGGGCTCTTTTTCCAAGCCAAGGAGCCTGTTATCCGTCGACTCCTCTCTGGTCGTGTTGCCAGCATGGCTGCCTTTATTACCTTCCTGCTGAAGAGGTACCTATTGATCTACTCACACTTGCATGTTTTCAATTTGCTAGGTTGGCAGGATAGCGTGAGCTCACCCTGCCCCACGGCTTTGAACTGCTAACCTTCAGGTCAGCACATTCAGCAGCACATGGGTTTAACTCATTGTGCCAAATTAGTAAAGATTTGTTGTTTTGGAGCATTTCAAGATGTAGTTTTTTTCAATGTAACATAGTCTGTAATTTTCTGGGGTGGGAGGGGGATGATGTGATAGACAATGGCAGCTACATGCTGTTGTTTTTCCCTTATCAGCCAATCACATGGCTTTCTGCACAGTCGGTCTCTTGCTTTGATTTGTAAAAACTTTAAGAATTTCCTAAAAATTAGTGGATGACTGAAACATTCTGAAACTTGGCAGGCTTAAAGTCGCAAAGGTTGCCTACAAGTGTGCCAAGTTTCATCCCAAAAGCCACAGAAATGATGCAAGGATGTGATTGACAGCGGCAGCTGTTTGATTTTTTCCTTGTCAGCCAACCACATGACTTTCTGTAAAGCTGCCCTCCCTTTATTTTTAAAAACTTTAAAAAATTCCTAAAAATTAGTGGATGACTAAAACTTTCTGAAACTTGGCAGACTTAAAGTTGTAAAGGTTGCCTACAAGTGTGTCAAGATTCATCCCAACAGCCATTGATTTTTTTTTTGTCATGTCAGGAGTGACTTGAGAAACTGCAAGTCACTTCTGGTGTGAGAGAATTGGCCGTCTGCAAGGACATTGCCCAGAGGATGCCTGGATAATTTGATGTTTTTATCATCCTTGTGGGAGGCTTCTCTCATGTCCCCGCATGAGGAGCTGGAGCTGATAGAGGGAGCTTACCCCTCTCCCCGGATTCGAACCTGTGACCTGTAGGTCTTCAGTCCTGCTGGCACAGGGGTTAACCCACTGCACCACCGGGGGCTCCAGCCATTGAAATGAGGCAAGGGTGTAAATTTCAAGGCGTGTTTCTGCATCATCATCAACCATTGAAATGATGCAGAAACACGCCTTGAAATTTACACCCTTGCCGCTAATTGAACAAATCTTAATGAAATGATAACTGAGCTTTGGATTACAAAACGAAATGGGACACCTCTGAATCTCCGAAACAAAATACTGACCGGATTTCAGTTTCACACAGGTCTAGGGTAAAGGTAAAGGTAGTCCCCTGACATTAAGTCCAGTCATTTCTGACTCTGGGGTGTGGTGCTCATCTCCATTTCTAAGCCCAAGAGCCAGCGTTGTCCGTAGACACCTCCAAGGTCATGTAGCCGGCATGACTGCATGTAGCGCCGTCACCTTCCCGCCGGAGCGGTACCTATTGATCTACTCACATTTGCATGTTTTCGAACTGCTAGGTTGGCAGAAGCTAGGGCTGACAGCGGAAGCTCACGCCGCTCCCTGGAATCGAACCTGCGACCTTTCGATCAACAAGCTCAGCAGCTCAGTGCTTTACTAATAACCTATTATAAAATTTTGGGGAAGAGACTTTCTGTGGCCTCATCAGGAGGGTGGCCAGTTCCGATTCTAACCTTGTTTATTCAGACAGCTTTTCCTTCTTGTTTTCTAGGGACCTCCCCCGCCCCAAATTTGACCAAAGTTATACACAGGAATACATGGAATTTGTTTGTTAACGTGTGTGCTCCGCATACTTCCCTAGGATGCAAACTTGTTTAGGAAACCACAGAAATACTCCGATCGCTTTGAACTTGGAGGCACTCTCCAAATCTTTCTCGGAAAGGAAACCAGAAATGCCGGTGATTCAAACTTTTATTCTTCTTATCTTCCACAAAAAAGAATGAATGAATGAAAGAAAAAAGAAAAGAAGAAAGGAAGAAACCTAATGCGGATCCCCCCCTCTAATTTCCCCTCCAAGTTCCTATACTCTTGGAATTAAGTAAGATGGAGTTGGAAATGAAGGGCGGTTCTGTTTCACCCCGCATGTCAGTCCGAAATTTAAAAGCATTGAAGTCCTTTCCCTTTGGGGCTTTCCCTTAAATTTTGGACTGAAACACAGAGTTCCTCCTTTGCACATTGGAAGGGGGTGTTGTCTAAAAATAACAGGAGAATCGAGGCGGTTGTGGACGGAGTAAACCAGACACACACCTCCCATCATCCCCTTCTCCTGTTAAACGGCAACTTGTGTAGCTCCGCTGTGTTACATTCCACAATTTTAGCCTTCACAGTGTGTCCAAGTCACTGCATGTCCCAAAGTCCTCCTGCCTCTGGGGGTGCTGTGCCCACACCTTCCAGCTTATTTTGCAAGCCGCTCCCATTTTCCCACAGAACGGCATTAGTGTTTTGCATCCCTCTGCCCACAGCTAACTGCTTTCAGATTGGGCAAAAACGGAGATCCGAAAGCACGAAACTGCGCACTCTCGGTGCTAAAAAAATAATCATCTGTGATGTGCAAGTTTTCCAACAAGGGTCAATGAAGTTAATGATGCCTTTGGATGATGTTGTTCAAGAGGCCTGCGATTACTATCGGGATGCAGGCCATAAAATTGAGAAAGAATGATGGGGCGATGGATCCAAAACTGCGCGGTCCCGATGCTGCAAAAATAACCATCTCCAATATGCAGCTTTTCAATGAGGGTCTTTTGATTATTCCTGTCTTTTTGATTATTCCTGTCCTTTTGATTATTCCTGTCTTTTTGATTATTCCTGTCCTTTTGATTATTCCTGTCCTTTTGATTATTCCTGTTGATTATTCCTTGGATGATGTTGTTCAAGAGCTCTGCAGTTCTTATCTTGAAGACGTGGGGCCCTAAAATGGAGCAAGGTCAGAGTCCAAAAAGGCAAAACTGCGCAGTCCCGATGTTGCAAAAATAACCACCCTCAATATGCAGCTTTCCGTCGAGGGTCTTTCGATCAGTGCCGCCCTTGGATGATGTTGTTCAAGATCTCTATAGCTGTTACCTTCAAAACGTGGGCTCCTAAAACGACGAGGCAACGGATCCGAAACTGCGCAGTCCCAATGTTGCAAAAACAACCATCCTCAATGCGCAGCTTTTCGACAAGGGTCTTTTGTTCAGTCCTGCCCTTGGATGATGTTGTTTAAGATGTCTACAGCTGTTACCTTCAAAACGTGGGGCCCTAAAATAGAGAAAGGTTGGAGTCCAAAAAGGGGAAACTGCACAATCCTGATGCTACCAAAATAAAACAAAACCCATCCTCAATGCACAGCTTTTTGACGAGGGTCTTTTGATCGGTCTGGCCCTTGGATGATGTTCAAGAGGTCTTTGGCTATTGCCCAATAATAGAAAAAAGGGGACTCCAGTCTCCTCCGGGTCCGAAGAGCGCCAACAACGGATTTGGCTGCTCCAGAGGCATTCGCTTGCGCTTTCAGAAAAGGGACGGATGCTCAGTTGTGCTGCCCAGCCAGGTCTTGTGCGATGAACTTGCGTAGCCGCTCCAGATACTGGCTGTAGAGCTCGATGTCGTTGTGCCCGGCTCCCTCAACCCAGAGGGGCTCGACAGCTTTGGGGCAGCGTTCGTAGAGGGCCAAGCCGTGGGAGAAGTCAATCACCTCGTCCTCTGTGCCGTGGATGAAAAGGACCGGGGAGGTGATCCGGGACACTTTGTCGATGCTACAGAAAGACAGGGACAAAGCAAAACAGAAAGACAGCTCTTAATAGTATAAATATTTGAATCATAGAACGCTCAATTCGGAAGGCACAATTAAAGCACCCCTGTCAGATGCCCATCCAACCTCAGGAGAAGGAAACTATCGGACTCCCAGGTGGAAGATTCCACATTTGCAACTTTCATGTGGATCTGTTCTGGGTTTTATACTCACTTTGGGAAAGCGTCAAAACAATAGGTCTTCTTGGTTTCCGGAAAGGCCACCCGCATGCCCGAGGTGAGAGGCGAGTGCAAGACCACGGCGGCACATTCATAGCGGGAGGCCAGGTCCACTGTGGGCACCGTCCCAATGCTCTGTCCATATAGGATAATATTCTCAGGGCTGATCCCATATCTGGGGTAGAGGGAGAGGGGGAGAAAAGGACACCGTTTCCAGAGCTGGTGGTGTATGGCTCAAAGAAATGAGTTGGAAGGAGGTCTCTAGAGGTCATCTAGTCTATCCCCCTTTGACCAGGTGCCCGCCTTAACCTCTTACAGTTGGTCATCTAACCTATACCCACTATTGCCAGGTTCCCATCATGACCTGGGAAGGGGGTCTCTAGAGGTCATCTAGTCTATCCCCCTTTGACCAGGTGCCCACCTTAAACTCTTACAGTTGGTCATCTAACCTATACCCACTATTGCCAGGTTCCCATCATGACCTCCAGAGTTTGGAAGGGGACCTCTTGGGATTCCCTTCGAAAAACAGGGATAGACTAGATGACCTCTAGTCTATCCCCGCTATTGCCAGGCTCCCATCTTGACCTCCAGAGTTTGGAAGGGGATCTCCAAAAGTCATTTAGTCTATCCCCCATTGACCAGGTGCCAATGGGGGATAGACTTAAAATTGGAAAGAGATCCCCAGAGGTCATCTAGTCTATCCCTGTTTTTCGAAGGGGATCCCAAGAGGTCATGTAGTCTATGCTCCTTTTACCAACTCACCGGGTGCGCAGCGCCTGCCAGGCGGCGTCAACATCAGCGTAGAGGTTCTTCTCGGAGGGCTTCCCGGTGCTGACCCCATAGCCCGAATAGTCGTAGGAGAAGATGTTGCAGTTGATGCGGGTGCCCAGGCTGATGTAGAAGCTGCACATCTGGCCCAGGTCCACGGCATTCCCATGTGAAAACAGCACCGTGAACCTGCCGGGCGTTCGGAAGACACATACAGGGAGGTTACATGGATAGAGAGTCTCAGTCCGCTCCGGACTGTAGTTCGAACTTTAAAGGGGCACTCTGATGTCCTGAAGGCAAGATCGGAAACAAGAGGGATTTTCCTCTACTTGCCACTCCACTTCTCCAAACTTACATAAAAGTATTATTATTATTATTATTATTATTATTATTATTATTATTATTAACATACTAGATCGCTAAGTTGCTCTACGTAAGATTTGGTTTTCAATCCTTTGATCATTTTGGTCGCCCTCCTCTGGACATATTCCACCTTGTCCATCTTCTGTTTGAATTGATTTTCCTAGAAGTAGACATGGGATTCTTTCAGGTAAGGTCTGACAAAAACATAAGAGAGCGGGACTATGACTTCCCTTGATCTAGACCAGGCCTGGGCAAACTTTCCAACTTGGGGCCCGCTGCTAGCACTCCCTGCTAGGAGGACGGTTTGCCCGGTGATGGGAAGAAAGAAGGGAAGGAGCAAGGAAGGAAAGAGAGAAGGAAGGAAGGAAGAAAGGAAGGGAGAGAGGGAAGGATGGAAGGAGAAAGAGGGAGGGAAGGTGGAAGGAAAGAAAAGGAAGGAAAGACTAAAAAGAAGGAAGGATGAAAAGGTGGAAGGGAAGAAAGAAGGAAAAAGAGAAGGAAGGCAGGAATGAAGGGAATGAGGAAGAAAAGCGACAAAAGGGTGGAAGGGAATGGAGGGAGGAAGACGAAGGGGAAGGAGGGAGGGAGGAAAGATAGAAGGAAGGAAAGACAAAAGGGAAGGAAGAAGAAAGAGAGAGGGAGGGAAGGTGGGATGAAAGAAGGAAGGAAAGACAAAAGGAAAAAAGAAGGGTGCTTGGAAGGAGGTAAGGAGGAAGGAAAGAGAGAAGGAAGGAAAGACAAAAGGGTGGAAGAGAAGGAAGGAAGGGAAGGAGGGAGCAAAGAGAGAAAAGAGGAAGGATCAAAGGGTGTAAGGAAATGGAGGGAGGGAGAAAAAGAGAGTGAAAGGAGGTAGGGAAGAGAGAAGGAAGGAAAGAAAAAAGTGAAGGAAGGAAGGAAGGAAGGAAGGAGAAGGAGGGTAGGAGGGAGGAAAGAGGGAAAGAAGGAAGGATGAAAGGGTGGAAGGGAATGGAGGGAGGGAGAAAGAGAGAAGGAAGGGAAGACAAAAAGGAAGTGGAAAAGGGAGAGGGAAGGAAGGAGGAAAGGTTGGATTGGAATGGAGGGAGAAAGAGAGGGAAAGAAGGGAGGGAGGGAAGAGAGAAGGAAGGAAAGACAAAAGGGAAGGAAGTTAGGAGAAAGAGGAAGAGGGTAGGAGGAAGGAAAGAGGGAAGGAAGGAAGGATGAAAGGGTGGAAGGGAATGAAGGGAGGGAGAAAGAGAGAAGGAAGGGAAGACAAAAAGGAAGTGGAAAAGGGAGAGGGAAGGAAGGAGGAAACGTTAGACTGGAATGGAGGGAGGGAGAAAGAGAGGGAAAGAAGGGAGGGAGGGAAGAGAGAAGGAAAGAAAGACAAAAGGGAAGGAAGAAGAAAGAGAGGGGGGGAGGAGGCAGGAAAGAGGGAAGGATGGATGGAAGGAGAAAAAGGGAGGTAAGGGAAGGAGGGAGGGACGGAGGAAGAAAAGAGAGAAGGAAGGATTTATTTATTTACTCTATTTGTATACCGCATATATCAGCCTGAGGCGGCGACTCAATGCGGATAAGATGGTGAGAGAGAGGAGGGCCTAAGAAAAAAAGCTCAAGGGGCCGCATCCGGCCTCTGGGCCTGGGTTTGTCCATACCTGATCAAGACACGACTCTAGATGCATCTATAATTGCATTGGCTATTTGTGCTGCTGCAGCACACTCTCGGCTCACCTTCAGCTTTGGCCCACTAAGATTTCTAGATCCCTTTCACATGGACTATGACTTCCCTTGATCTCTAGACACTACTATGAATGTGGCTGAAATTGCAATGGTCTTTTTGTGATCTGGACACTAGAGTCCTATGGATGCCATCTAGAATTGCACTGGCCTTTTCTGCTGCCGTGTTACACTCTTGACTCAGGTTCAGCTCATGACATACTAAGACCCCTAAATCCCTTTCACATTGACAATTTGTTCTAAACGCTCTTATGGATGCCATCTAGAATAGCATTGGCCTTTTTTGCTGCAGCGTCACACTCTTTACTTGAGTTCAGTGTGGATGCATGAAGACCCCTAGATCCCTTTCATATGGACTTTGATTTCCCGTGATCTGTGGATGCTGCTGAGAATAGTATTGGCCTTTTTGTTGCCTCATCACACTCATAAGTCAGGGCTTTAGTGCAGTGGGTTAAACCACCAGCTGCAGAAAATCTTGCTGATCGAAAGGTCGACAGTCCAAGCTCGGTTTGGGGTGAGCTCCCGTCAGCTCAGCTTCGGTCTACCTAGCAGTTCGAAAACAGCAATGTGAGTAGATACTGTTTTGGCAGAGAGGTAATAAAAGGCACCCATGTGGACATGCTACGATTTGATCAGGACAACAAAGTGCCTCAGCATGGAAGATAGAACCACAGCACCTCCCTGTGGCTGGAGCCGAGCACAGCCTCCAGATGCCAAAGATTGAAAAAGATGGGAAGCCTTTACCTCTGTTTATGTCTTGTCTGTCTTGTTAATTGATTAACAGCATTGAATATTTGCCGTATATGTGTCCTGTAATCCGCCCTGAGTCTCCTCGGGGAGTTAGGGCAGAATATACCATATATACTCAAGTATAAGCCAACCCGAATATAAGCCGAGGCGCCTAATTTTACCACAAAAACCTGGGAAAACGTATTTACTCAAGTATAAGCTGAGAGTGGGAAATGCAGCAGCTACTGGTCAATTTCAAAATGAAAATAGATATCAATAAAATTACATTAATTGAGGCATCAGGAGGTCAAATGTTTTGGAATATTTACATAACACTGTAATTTAAGATAAGACTATCCAACTCTGATTAAACCATTATCCTAACCTTCTTCAATGTAAACGTGATTACGTTTCCTTCCAATAATGAGAGTAAAATAATAAATGTAATAAAAATACTAATAATAGAGTCAAATAATAAATGTAATAAAATAATAATAAAATAATAAATGTAATAATAATAGAGTAAAATTAAAAAAAATAACAGAGTAAAATAATGACTCACTGGGGGGGGGGGCTTTTTCAGCCTAAAAAAGGGCTGAAAAACTCAGCTTATACCCAAGTATATATGATAAATAAAGTATATTATTAAGTTCTTGTGGGTTTTTTCGGGCTATATGGCCATGTTCTAGAGGCATTTCTCCTGACGTTTCGCCTGCATCTATGGCAAGCATCCTCAGAGGTGAGGATGCTTGCCATAGATGCAGGCGAAACGTCAGGAGAAATGCCTCTAGAACATGGCCATATAGCCCGAAAAAACCCACAAGAACTTAGTGATTCCAGCCATGAAAGCCTTCGACAAAGTATATTATTATTATTAAGTCAAAGCTGAGCTTGTGACGTACTAAGACGCCTAGATCCCTTTCACATAGACTATAATTTCCCTTGTTCTAAAGACTCCACCTTGAATCGCATTGGCCTTTTTCGCTGGAGCGTCACACCCTTGCTTAAATCCACGAAGACCCCTAGATCCCTTTCATGTGGACTTTGACTTCCCTTGATCTGTGGATGCTGCCGAGAATTGCATTGGTATTTTCAGCTGCCACAGGCCTATACTAAGACTCCGAGATGACAACTTCCCTTCTCTCTAAGAGAAACCATTGGCGAGGACCAGTCGACCGGTCAGAGCAGGAGGGACGATTGCCACCTGTATGGGGGGGATTCCCTTGTGCTCACCTGGCGCCTGGTGCACAGCGGACGTACATGCAGCCCACCCGGTTCCCCCGGTTGCTTTTGGTCAGGAAGACCTCCATGGTGTCAAGCTCACGCTGGGTGTACTGGAAGTCAGCCCGGTCAGACAAATGTAGTTTCCAGCGGGCCAAGGCCCCACTCCGAGGGGAGGATCCACCACCACCGGAAGAGGAAGACCCCGCAGGCTCCGGTTCAGGGACGATGGCGTATGTCGGCTCCGGTGGCAAGAAGGCCAGCTTGGCGGCAATGCGCCCGGGGCACGGCGGGCAGCAGAAGAGGCAGCAGAGTTCGCTCACGGAGAGGCCGTTCATGGCAGCGGAAGGGCCAGAACAGGGTCTCTTGCTGTGTGTGTGTTAAGGTTACTGGAGGACCTCCCGAATCAAAACAGAGGAGCCCGGTGGTGAAAGAAAGGACAGGGCGGGCAGAAGCAACGTCTTTATGACATCTCCAGTCGGAACGTGCGCCTCCCACATTCCGGCGCCAGGTTTGAGAATCCCGGTGCGGTGCTTCGTCTCTGGGAAATGTTCCAAGGAAGATCCTATGTCAAAATCAAATGGAAGCATTGAACCATAGAAGAGTTGGAAGAGACTCCCAAAGGTCATTCAGTCCAAACCCCTTCTTTCATGCAGGAAAAGTACAACCAACCCACCCAACAGATGTCCATCTACCCAACCTTCCTAATGAAGTGACCGCTTAATATTGTGGTGACCCCCAACCATACAATTATTTTTGTTGCTACTTCATAACTGTCATTTTGTAACTGTTATGAATCGTCATGTAAATATCTGATATGCAGGATGTATTTTCATTCACTGGACCAAATTTGGCACAAATACCTGATACACCCAAATTTGAATACTGATGGGGTTGGGAGGGGGGAATTGATTTTGTCATTTGGGAGTTGTAGTTGCTGGGATTTATAGTTCACCTACAATCAAAGAGCATTCTGAACTCCACAAACAATGGAATTGAACCAAACTTCCCACACAGTACTCCCATGACCAACAGAAAATACTGGAAGAGTTTTGTGGGCATTGACCTTGAGTTTGGGAATTGTAGTTCACCTACATCCAGAGAGCACTGTGGACTTGAACAATGATGGATTTGGACCAAACTTGGCACAAAAATGAACACTGGTGGAGTTTGGGTAAAATAGACCTTGACATTTGGGAGTTGTAGTTACTGGGATTTATAGTTCACCTATAATCAAAGAGCATTCTGAACTCCACCAACGAGGGAACTGAACCAAACTTGGCACACAGAACTCCCATGACCAACAGAAAATACTGGACGGGTTTGGTGGGAAGGGTTTTGGAGTTGTAGTTCACCTACATCCAGAGAGCACTGTGGACTCAAACAATGTTGAATCAGGACCAAACTTGGCACGAATATTCAATATGTGCAAAGGTGAACACTGGTGGAGTTTGGGGAAAATAGACCTTGACATTTGGGAGTTGTAGCTGATGGGATTTATAGTTCACCTAAATCAAAGAGCATTCTGAACTCCACCAATGATAAAATTGAACCAAACTTGGCACACAGAACCCCCATCACCTACAGAAAATACTGTGTTTTCTGATGGTCTTTGGTGATCCCCCTGACACCCCCTCACTTATCTGACATAAACGGGCCGGCAAAACGTTGGATAAATGAAAATGTCGGATAATACAGTCTCCTACTGTTAGCAGTCTGACATGGCGTTAGACACCTAGAATACTAACAACAGGGACTGAAAAGGTTCAGGCAAGTCAACACGTCGGGGCTAGAGCGGCCCAGCAGGAAGTACCCGGATGCAGAAGAGAAGCATGGAAATCACAGAGGGAAGGAGGGAGGACGCTTCCGCTTTCAGTCCTGCCTCTTTTCCCCCTTTCCTCCCCCTCCTCCTCCTCCTTGTCTTGCCTTTTTCACTTATTGGGAATGGAGAGAGAATTGGGGAGCGCTCCTTTAATTGAAGGGGAAATGCTGCAGGAAAAGGAGGGCATCGGATAATAGCATTGGATAAGACAGAATGTCAGATAAGCAAAGGTCGGATAAGCGAGACTGTAACTATGTTATTGAAGGCTTTCATGGATGGAATCGCTGGGTTGCTATGAGTTTTTCGGGCTGTATGGCCATGTGTTTCTTACCCACCTCTCCTCGTGACTCCAGGCGGCTTCCAACATATTTAAAAACACATAATGGCATAAGGAAAGGAAAAGGAAAAAAATAGTAAAAAGGAGTAACAGAGCGATTTCCTGGCCAGAGTGAAAAGGAAGCACAAGATGAGCTCATGGCCTTTTGTCACTGAAAAGAAACAAGGGTCAATTTATGGCATCCGATGCTCCGCCAGATGCAGCTTGGAAAGAAAGAAAGAGGGAATTAATTCCCTGGGAATTAATTCAGAGTAAACAGATAGCGGAAAGCAGGACAAAACCCGACATCCATTCCACATAAAATATCCCGTGGCGGAGTTGTACTACACAGTCCCTATACAAAGGCGAATATTCTTTTGTCCTGTTACTTAGAGCAGTGGTTCTCAACCTTCCGAATGCTGCGACCCCTTAATACAGTTCCTCATGTTGTGCTGACCCCCAACCATAACATTAATTTCATTGCTACTTCATCACTGTAATTTTGCTACGGTTATGAATCGCAATGTATCTGAATCGCAATGTATCATTCACTGGACCAAATTTGACACAAATACTCAATACGCCCACATTTGAATGCTGGTGGGGTTGGGAAGGGATTTATTTTGTTATTTGGGAGTTGTAGTTTCTTGGATTTATAGTTCACCTGAAATCAAAGAGCATTCTGAACTCCACCAACGATGGAATTGAACCAAACTTGGCACACAGAACTCCCACGACCAACAGAAAATACTGGAAGGGTTTGGTGGGCATTGACCTTGAGTTTTGGAGTTTTAGTTCACCTACATCCAGAGAGCACTGTGGACTCAAACAATGATGGACTCAAACAATGATGGCATGAGTACTCAATATGCCCAAATGTGAACACTGGTGGAGTTTGGGTAAAATAGACCTTGACATTTGGGAGTTGTAGTTGCTGGGATTTATACAATCAGAATACAATCAAAGAGTATTCTGAACCCCATCAACAACCGAATTGGGCCAAAGTTCGCACACAAAACCCCCATGACTAACATAAAATACTGTGTTTTCTCATGGTCTTTGGCGACCCCTCTGATACCTCCTCATGCTCCCCCCTCCCGGGCTCCCGACCCCCAAGTTGAGAAACACTGACTTAGAGTGACCCTATGAATCTCGTAAGATTTTCTTAAGGCAAGGAGTCCTCAGGAGTGATTTGACCAGTGTTTTTTTTTTAATCAAAACCCCATGGATTTGATAGGATTTTCTTAAGCAACGGATATGTTTTTGACCACTCATATTAGTCCCTAGATTAGAAAGTGATGTTGCATCCTTTGCAATATTAAAATATTGCGATTATTATCATGATGTTTATTTATATCCTGCTTTTTCTCTCCCACCAGGAGAATCAAAGCATCTAAGTATTCATTATTAGTATTTGAATGTATTATTATTATTATTTTGTGTCAGGAGCGACTTGAGAAACGGCAAGTCACATCTGGTGTGAGAGAATTAGCCATCTACAAGGATGTTGCCCAGTGTTTTTACCATCCTGTGGGAGGCTTCTCTCATGTCCCCGCATGGGAAGCTGGAACTGACAGACAGGAGCTCACCCCGCTCCCCGGATTCGAACCATTGACTTTTCAGTCAGCAGTCCTGCCAGCACAAGGGTTTAACCCATTGCACCACCAGGGGTTCCCTATTATTATTATTACTATTTTAGTAGTATTAGAATGTATTATTACATTATATTAATACGAGGGGTATTTTTTAAGTAAGGTCCGTTTTGGTGTAGACACGAGTAGTTCGCGCGCATACTGCAACGAGTGCCTGCGTCGTGTACCGGCATGCCTCAGGAACAACTGTGCTCAGTTTCCGCTCTGTAGCTAACCTGTACGGTTCTGTTCTGTGCTTTAAAATGTTTAAGACTGTCAACTCACCCTCCGCATGTGAGGTTCGCTCAGTGATACGGTTTTTGTCAGCAAGGAACCTACCTGCTGCAGAAATTCATCGACAGATTTGTGAAGTGTACGGTGATACTGTTATGAGTGAAAGCAAAGTGCGTAAGTGGGTACGACAATTCAAAGATGGCCGTGACAACGTCCATGATGGGGACCGCTCCGGTCGCCCTTCTTTGATTACAGACGATTTGGTTATCGGAGCAGGCGGCAAGTTTTTATGAAGAGGGTATTTTAAAATTGGTTCAGAGGTATGATAAGTGTTTGAACAAACTTGGCAACTATGTCAAAAAATAGAGTGAAGTATGTACTTTCTGAAAATAAATTGACTTTTTTGAAATAAACTTTCGTTGTGTACTTATGTTCCAACGGACCTTACTTAAAAAATACCCCTCGTATTATTAATTATATTATATTATATTACTATATTATTATACATAACATTACATTATTATTATACATAGCAGAGCTCTGTATGGGTTACGGGTTAAATAATGGATACATAGCCGCTTTGAATCTCTTTATGGAGAGAACAAGTGGGGTAAACATAACAATAATAATAATAATACAATCTAATACTAATAATAGGATATATAGCCACTTTGAATCTCATGGTGGGCAAGAAAAAGTGGGGTAAACATAACAACAACAACACATTCTATTAGTAATAATGGATAGTCACTTTGAGTCTCCTGGTGGAGATAAGTGGGGAAACATAATAAGGATAATAATAATAATAGTAATACATTCTAATACTAATAATGGATACATAGCCACTTTGAGTCTCCTGGTGGAGGGAACAAGTGGGGTAAATATAACAACAACAACACCACAATCTAATACCAATACTGGATACAGTCTCCTGGTAGAGAGAAGAACTGGGGTAAACATAATAATAATAAGTTTTTAAATGTATTGTGGTGTTACTGTCTAATGCTTATTGTTATTGTTTTAATGTTTATTGCTTTGCTTTATGAGTTTATTTATTGTTGTATTTGTTATGCTGTTGCTTTATTGATGTGTTGGGCCTTGGCCTCTTGTAAGCCGCACTGAGTCCTTTGGGAGATGTTAGCGGGGTATAAATAATAATAATAATAATAATAATAATAATTGCAATCCCAGGTGACAGCATGATTGAAGAGAAACAACTGGAAAGCTGACACGATATGAGGATTTAAAGATCGAACTGCAAAGACTCTGGCACAAGCCAGTCAAGATGGTCCCAGTGGTGATCGGTACACTGGGTGCAGTGCCTAAAGACCTTGGCCTGCACTTAAACACAATCGGCGCTGACAAAATTACCATCTGCCGGCTGCAAAAGGCAACCATACTGGGATCTGCACGCATTATTCTCCTAAAACATTTGGGAAGTGTCTGACGTGTGATCCAATACAACAGCCAGCAGAGTGATCTTGTCTGCTGTGGACTAATCTTGTTGTGTTTCAAATAATAATAATAATAATAATAATAATAATAATAATAATAATAATAATATAATACATTCTAATACTACTAATAGATACATAGCCACTTTTGAGTCTCCTGGTGGAGGGGAAAAGCAGGGTAAATATAACAACAACAGAATCTAATACTAATGGATACATAGTCACTTTGAGTCTCTTGGTGGAGAGAAAAGCAGGGTATACACAACGACCACAACAATAAAAAAACAATAATACATTCTAACACTAACAATGGATACATAGCCACTTTGAGTCTCCTGATGGGAGAGAAAATGTGGGGTAAACAGTAGAATCAGAGAGTTGGAAGACACCTCGTGGGCCATCCAGTCCCATCTTCTGCCAAGAAGCAGGAAAAATGCATTCAAAAATGTATAATAATAATAAATTCTATCCAACAGGAGACTCAAAGCGGCTTACACTGAAAGCATCTCCATACAATTTAAAATCTGCAAATATACAAACATTAAAACAGAATTACATATCACGGGTATTTAAAATTCAGTTTAAAATCCATTCCTGTTAATGGTCTCTTCTTCAAGGTAAACACCCCGAGATCCTTAAGCCACTCCTCATAAGGCTTGGCTTCCAGACCTTTGACCCTTTCATGGACACCTTCCAGCTTCTTAAATTATAATGAATGAAACTGGATTATTTCAGGGGAGATCTGACCCAAGTAGAATAGAGTCAGACTCAATGTAGATTCCTATAGAGTCTAGATCAGTGGTCCTCAACCTGGGGTCCCCAGGTGTTTTTGGCCTTCAACTCCCAGAAGTCCTAACAGCTGGTAAACTGGCTGGGATTCCTGGGAGTTGTAGGCCAAAACACCTGGGGACCCACAGGTTGAGAACAACTGGTCTAGATGATCTTCATGGATCCCTTCTGACTCCTATACCCCGGGGAACTTCTTGCCACATGACACACTAAGAAGCTATGGGCTAGATGGCCTCTGGGCGCCCCTTCCAGCCCTATGCTAGACTAGATGGCCTTTCAAATAGATAGTCTAGATGGCCTTTAGGGGTCCCTTCCAACGTTTATACCCTGTGGAACTTCCTGCCACATGATGTACTAAGAAGTTATAGACTAGATGGCCTTTGGGTGCCCCTTGCAGCTCTACGCTAGACTAGACAGCCTTCCAAATAGATAGTCTAGATCAGTAGTTCTCAACCTGTGGGTCCCCAGGTGTTTTGGCCTACAACTCCCAGAAATCCCAGCCAGAAACAACTGGGGACCCCAGGTTGAGAACCACTGGTCTAGATGAACTTTAGGGGTCCCTTCTGACTCCTATACCCCGGGGAACCTCCTGCCACATGACACACTAAGAAGCTATGGGCTAGATAGCCTTTGGGTGCCCCTTCCTGCTCTGCACTAGAGAAGATGGCCTTCCAAATAGGTAGTCTAGATGACCTTTATGGGTACCTTCCGACTTCTATACCCTGTGGAACTTCCTGCCACATGATGCACTAGATGCAGCCCAGAATCGCGTTGGCTTCTTCAGCTGCTGCATCCCACTGTTGGCTGATGTTCAGAACCGGACACAAAAGCGTTACCAGGTGAGGAGCTCTGACCAAAGCAGAAGAAAGCGGGAGTATTGGCTTCCCTCGAGTGTAGACACGAAACTCCTTAAGGATGCAGCCTAAAAGGCAGGCCTCCCCAAAGATGCTTCTTTCCCCTTGCCTTTCCCCCCAACTGAGGGGCGATGCCCCGTTGGTGGGGCCCCCAAGCGAGGCGGAAAGAGGGTCCCCCCCAAACCTCTCCAAAAGACTCACCTGGGCGCACAGTGATGGGAGAAGGCGCACGGGGCGCGACTCGGTCTGCTGCTCTTTCTCGTGGCTTTGGCGCCCCTCTGGCTCCCTCTTTCTCCCCCCAAAAGGGCTCAGTCCGAAGGCAAGGGTCCCCCCAAGCTGCCTTCAGCCCCCTTGGCCCCCTCCGCCCCCGACCCTCCGCCTCAAAGCCCCTTCTAAACAGCCCCCGAAGCTGCCTTTCCGTGCGCTCTGCATTACGCACCAGCTTGGCCAGCAGCAGCTTTGGGGCTCCTTCTCCTCCTCCTCCTCTCGAGGAGGCGGATGTGACCGCAGCGACATCCGCACTGGAAGTGACGACGGACGCGGGAGGAGCTCTAGAACCCCCTCCCCCCTTTTCCTCCCCCGACACGCGTTCCCACGAGACAGCTGCGGGCAGACACGCGTCTGCGCCAAAGCTCCTGTAGCAAACCAAGACCTCCTGAGTGCAGAAGTGGCTTCATAGATCCATTTGGGAAGAAGGGGGATTCGAAGAGAAAATCCTCTTATATTTTGGTCCTGCCTCCTTCCTGAACTAGGGACACAACAGAATATTATTATTGGGTTCTTGTGAGTTTTCCAGGTTGTCTGGCCATTGTTCCAGAAGCATTCTCTCCTGACGGCAGGCATCCTCAGGGATTATGAGGTCTATTTGAAACTAGGCAAGTGGGGTTTATATATCTGTATTCTAAGGATGCCTGCCATAGATGCAGGCAAAAGGTCAGGAGAGAATGCTTCTGGAACATGGTCATGCAGCCTGAAAAACTCACAACAACCCAGTGATTCAGGCCATGAAAACCTTCGACGTTGTTGTTAATAATAATAATAATAATAATAATAATAATTTAATATTAATAATTAATCAATAAATTATTATTATTATTATTTATAATAATTATTGTCACAAGTACCACCTGCCAGCAGTAAAGAATTGGTGTATCCATAAACCCGCAAAGGTAGTGGAAAATGAACATGCAAAAATACTGTGGAACTTTTTAATCCAGACTGACAAAGTTTTGGAACACAATCAGGGGCGACTCAACCCATTACGCAAAGTAAGCATTTGCAGTATAGTTGATTTTACCCAGGGGCGCTCTTGAGGCGCTCTTGGGGGAAAATAGACCTTGACATATGCGAGTTGTAGTTACTGGGATGTATAGTTCACCTACAATCAAAGATCATTCTGAACTCCACCAATGATGGAATTGAACCAAATATGGCACACAGAACTCCCACGATGAACAGAAAATATATATCAATGATTGGTTTGGGGGGGGCACCAAAATACTGTTTGCTTACCGTTGAAAATTACCTAGGGCTGCCTCTGAACACAATACACCAGACATCACGATTGTGGAAAAGAAAAAAGTCTGGATTATTGATGTCGCCATACCAGGTGACGGTCGCATTGAGGAAAAACAACAGGAAAAACTCAGACGCTATCAAGGCCTCAAAATTGAACTGCAAAGGCTCTGGCATAAACCAGTACAGGTAGTCCCAGTGGTCATTGGCGCACTGGGTGCCGTGCCAAAAGATCTCAGCTGGCATTTGGAAACAATAAACATCGACAAAATCATGATCAGCCAACTGCAAAAGGCCACCTTACTTGGATCTGCACGCACATCATTCGAAAATACATCACACAGTCCTAGACATTTGGGAAGTGTTTGACTTGTGATTTTGTGCTACGAAATCCAGTATAGAGATCTTGTTTGCTGTGACATAGTGTGCTTTTGTGTCAATAATAATAATAATAATAATAATAATAATAATATCTTTATTTTTATCCCTCTTTTCTCCCTAACGGGACCCAAAGCAGCTCACAATATAATACAATACAGTGGGTTGCTGTGAGTTTTCCGGGCTGTATGGTCATTGTTCCAGGAGCATTCTCTCCTGACGTTTTGCTTGCATCTATGGCAGGCATCCTCAGAGGTTGTGAAATCTGTTGGAAACTAGGAAAATGGGGTTTATATATCTGTGGAATGATGTCCAGGATGGGAGACAGAACTCTTGTCTGGTGGAGGTGGTGTGAATGTTACACTTGGCCACCTTTATTAGCATTTAATGGCCTTGCAGTTTCAAGGTTTAGCTTCTTACTGCCTGGGGGAATCCTTTGTTGGGGAGTGATTAGCTGGCCTTAATTTTTCTCCCACACTGGATATTCCACAGATATATAAACCCAATTTTCCTAGTTTCCAACAGACCTCACTACCTAGTTTCCATCAGACCTCACTACCATAAATGCAGGGGAAGCGTCGGGAGAGAATGCTTCTGGAACATGGCCAGACAGCCCATAAAACTCACAACACAGTGATTGCGGCCATGAAAGCCTTCAACAATAAATTATTATGATTATTTATAATAATCATAGTAATTATAATAATAAATCTTTATTTATATCCCTCTTTTTCTCTCTAACGGGACCCAAAGCACCTCACAATATATAATACGGTGGGTTGCTGTGAGTTTTCCGGGCTGTCTGGCCATACAGTATCTCCTGATGTTTTGCCTGCATCTGTGGTAAGCACTCTGAACTCCACCAATGATGGACCTGGAACAAAACTGGCACACAGAGCCCGCACAGCAAAAAATATGGGAGTTTTTTTGGGGGGAAATTCACCTTGATTTGGGGGAATTATAGTTCACCCACATCCAGAGAGCACTGTGAACCCAAACACTGATGGATCTGGGCCAAACTTGGCATGCATACCCGATATGCCAAAATTGGATTACTGGAGGGGTTTGGTGGCAACCAATCTTCCTTTCTGGGAGTTGTAGTTCACCCACAACCAGGGAAACGGTGATCTCCACCCAGGACCGTAGTTCCACAACACAAAATAATTTAAATAGTATGATTCATTCTATATTTTATATAGACTGAATTAAATCAATTTTCTCATCTCTTTCATGGGGGGCTTCAAATCCCTCCCATGCCTTAGGCCAGTGGTTCTCAACCTGTGGGTCCCCAGGTGTTTTGGTCTACAACTCCCAGAAATCCAAACAGCTGGTAAACTGGCTGGGATTTCTGGGAGTTGTAGGCCAAAAACATCTGGGGACCCCTGGTTGTGAACCACTGCTAGGCTTTGCCTAGCAGTTGTGGGTACGCCAACTTGGTTGCCTCCACTATATCAGCTATTGTTGCAAGTAATGACTGTGAATAAATTGGCAAAATTTGCTTGCGATAGTGCTTGCAGTTCTGGAGGGACTCTTAATTTTTTGCATCTCATAGACTTAGCATGGGGATTTGGTTAACCAGTTAAAATTCATGAGTAAACTGGGTTTTTAAAAAAAATCTGAAACATTTCGGGGGGTGGGTTTGAACCCCTAACCCTGCCCCCCCTTGGCTACAGCCCTGCCTCCACCGAGGATGGACCTGGGTCAAACTTGGCACACAGAACCCCCATGACTAACTCAACCTACTGGAGGGGTTTGAGGGGACTGACTCACCATAGTGGGAGTTGTAGTTTACCCGACACCCAGAGAGCACACTGAACCCCACTGATGAGACATCTAGAGCAAACTTGCTTGAAAAGTGTTCCCACAAGACAACTGCAGGCAGACACACATCTACGCCAAAGCTCCTTTAGCAAACCAAGACCTCCTGGGTGAAGAAGTGGCATGATGGATCCATTTGTGAAGGAAGGGGTTTCAAAGAGGAAATTCTTTTATATTTTGATCCTGTCTCTTTCCTGAAAAAGGGACACAGCCCAATATTATTATTTATAATTTTAATAATACAAAATTTATTTATTTATATCCTGCATTTCTCCCTAATGGGACCCAAAGTGGCTCACAACATAATACAATACAGTAGGTTGTTGTGAGTTTTCCGTGCTGTCTGACCATGTTCCAGAAGCATTCTCTCCCGACATTTCACCTGCATCTATGGCAGGCATCCTCAGAGGTGATGACTTCTGTTGGAAACTAGGCAAGTGGGGTTTATCTATCTGTGGAATGTCCAAGTTGGGAGAAAGAACTCATCTGTTGGATGTAGGTGTGAATGCTGCAATAGGCCATCTTGATTAGCATTTAATGGCCTTACAGTTTCAAAGTCTGGCTGCTTCTTGCCTGGGGGAAAGCATTTGTTGGGAGGTGTTAGCTGGCCCTGATTGATTGTAATTCTCATTTTCTGAGTGTTGCTCTTTCTTTACAGTCCTGGTTTTAGAGTTTTTTTTAAATACTAGGAGCCAGATTTTGTTCACTTCTATGGTTTCCTCCTTTCTGTTGAAATTGTCCACATACTTAGGGATTTCAGTGGCTTCTCTGTGTAGTCTAACATGGTGGTTGTGAGAGTGGTCCAGCATTTCTGTGTTCTCAAATAATCTGCTGTGTCTGGGTTGGTTTATCTGGTGCTCTGCTATGGCTGACTTCTCTGGTTAAACTAGTCTGTAGTGCCTTTCCTGTTCCTTGATTCGTGTCTGAGCAATGCTGCTGCGTTTGGGGGTCCCTATGTAGACTTGTCCACAGCTGCATGGTATACAGACTCTTGCAGAGGTGAGAGGATCCCTCTTGTCCTTTGCCGAATGTAGTATTTGTTGGATTTTCTTAGTGGGTCTGTAGATAGTTTGAAAGCTGTGTTTCCTCATCAGCTTCCCTATGCGGCCAGTGGTTCCCTTGATGTAAGAACACTTTCACTGTATATCATGCAGCTGTGGACAAGTCCACATAGGGACCACCAAATGCAGCATTGTCCAAAAACAAATCAAGAAACATGAAAGACACTGCAGACTAGTTGTTGTCACCTTACTCTTGGCTTTCACCTGCTGAGTTTCAAGAGTTTGCTGTGTATCCAAGAGGTGATTTCCACACTGGTCAATAAGGTGCAGAATCATAGCTATGATATTATACATTTAGTGATGTTATACTTTTTTCGCCCCCTCCTATACCGATCCTATCACCTCACCCGCTTCATAGGAAATCTGCTACAAAACAGGAGCTTTTATGTTGAGTTCCAGGGCCAGAGAAGCAGATGGCGGAAGCAGAAAAATGGGGAGTGTGCTTGCTCCAGCAATGTTTAATATTTACACAAATCACCAGCCACTGCCAGAAGGGACAGAGAGTTTCATCTATGCTGACGATTGTGCCATCACTGCTCAAGCAGGGAGCTTTGAAACGGTTGAACAGAAGCTCTCCGAGGCTCTAGGTGCCCTTACTGCCTATTACAGGGAAAACCAGCTGATCCCTAATCCATCTAAAACACAGATGCATGCTTTTCATCTTAAGAACAGACAAGCACCTCGAGCTCTCAGGATTCCCTGGGAAGGAATCCCATTGGAGCATTGCAGCACACACAAATACCTGGGAGTCACTCTGGACCATGCTCTGACTTACAAGAAGCACTGCTTGAATATCAAGCAAAAAGTGGGTGCTAGAAATAATATCATACAAAAGCTGACTGGCAGAACCTGGGGATCACAACCAGACACAGTGAAGCCCTTGAGCTTGGCTACTCTGCTGCCGAGAATGCGTGCACAGTGTGGAATACACCTCACTACGTTAAAACAGTGGCTGTGACTCTTAATGAGACATATCATATTATCACAGGATGTCTACGCCCAATACCAGTAGAGAATTTATACTGTTTAGCTGGTATTGCACCACCTGACGTACATCAGGAAGTAGCAGCCAGCAATGAAAGGACCGAGACAGCGAAATCTCTGGCCCATCCTCTGTTCAGATATCAGCCAGCACGCCAATGACTTAAATCAAGAAATAGCTTCCTAAGATCTACAGAGATACTTGAAGGAACACTGCAACAAGCAAGAGTCCAAAAGTGGCAGGCGAAAACCTGGAACCTCTATCAGTGGCTGACACCGGATGAAAAACTCCCTACTGGGTGCACAGAAGATTGGGCGACTTGGAAGGCGCTGAACAGACTCTGCTCTGGCATCACGAGATGCAGAGCCAATCTTAAGAAATGGGGCCACAAAGTGGGGTCCATGACATGTGAGTGCGGAAAAGAGCAAACCACAGACCACCTACTTCAATGCAACCTGAGCCCTGCAACATGCACCATGGAGGACCGTTTCACACCGACACCAGAGGCACTCCAAGCGGCCAGCTTCTGGTCAAAGGATATTTAGTATAATGCCAAGTTTTTAACTGTGTTTGTGTTCCTACATACATTACAACTGTACCCTCAATTCACTTCTGGCACAATACATAAAACTTCCCAAACTCTGGACTCGAGATGTTAAGCATTAGAATGAGTTCTAACACTGGATAAAAAATAAAATAACAGACAGCAAGCGAGAAGCAAGTGGATGAGCTTCAAGGCTGGAAGCAGGGAAGGCTTTGCGGCAACACAAAGGTTAAAAACACAGTCTTTCTTTTCTTTATTATGATCCAAGAAACCAAAAGAGCCACCCGTTTCCATTGGGATGCTTCCAGCGGCGACCCTATTTGTACGAATTGGCCTTGTGCTTCGGCAGGAAAATGAAGCCGGACGGGACGGGACCCAAAAGCATCTCACTGTGGTGAAAAAAAGCGAGAGAACGAGAAGACAGAATTAGATCCAAGTGAGGATTGTGGGGCTTTCAAAATTTCATTGAATTACAAATCCCAGCGGCCCTAGTCAGCATCCTTCTACCTGATCTTGATCCAGTCGTCCACATTTTGGCTGGCCATGAGGGTCTCCATGTAGTCCCGGCCCATGTAATATGGGGGCCTCTCGTTGATCCGCTGTGGCAAGCGCTCCAGTAAACCGGCTGGAATGTACCTGGGAGAAAGAGGGAAAAAAACAAATCAATGAAGCAATGGATTCAACCCAAACATTCAGAAGAACTTCTTGACCGTCAGAGCTCTCCGACAGTGAGATACATATGACCGGGCCTCCTTCTCTGAAGGTTTTTAAAGCAGAGGCTGGATGGCCATCTGTTAGGAAGGATTAGATGGTGCCGTAATGGTAGAACGGGGTTGGACTGGATGGCCTCTGTCAGGAAGTATTAGATAGTGTCCTAAGTAATGGCAGAAAGGGGTTGGACTGGAAGGTCATCTGTTGAGAAGGATTAGATGGTATCCGTAATGGTAGAAGGAGTTGGATATGCAATCCATGTGTCTGGAGGGATTGAATAGTGCCTTCCTTAATGGTAGAAGGGGTCGGACCGGAAGGCCATCTGTCAGGAAGGATTAGATAGTGTCTGTAATGGTAGAAGGGGTTGGACTGGATGGCCTCTGTCAGGAAGTATTAGATAGTGTCCTAAGTAATGGCAGAAAGGGGTTGGACTGGAAGGCCATCTGTTTAGAAGGATTAGATGGTATCCATAATGGTAGAAGGAGTTGGATATGCAATCCATGTGTCTGGAGGGATTGAATGGTGCCTTCCTTAATGGAAGAAGGGGTCGGACCGGAATGCCATCTGTCAGGAAGGATTAGATAGTGTCTGTAATGGTAGAATGGGTTGGATTGGATGGCCATCCATCTGGAGGGATTAGATTGTGCCTTACTGCCTGGCAGAAGATGATCGGACTGTTGGGAAGAATAAGAAGGTTTTCTTCGTAATGTTAGAAAGGGTTCGGACTGGATGGCCATCTGGTGGGAGGGATTAGATGGTGCCTTCCTGTTGGAAAGGCCTAAAGGCATGGATAGGAAAGGGCTCCTCTACCGGCAGAGGAAGGAGAGCCATTCCAGCAGGAACTTGCGGGTTTTCTCCACGCCTTGAGTGTCGGAGCCCCAGTGCTCCAAGCCATAGTGGGTGTAGTCCTTGAGGATCTCCAGCCGCTCGGAGGAGGAGATGTCCCAATGGCGGCGCTCCTTGATTTCGGTGAAGATCCAGGGCTTGATCAGGGCTCCCCTGCGGATAGGAAGGAAGGACGGAGACATATAATCCCGCCTGATTGTGGAAGCTAAGCAGGGCCGGCCATGCCAACAATAACAACCACAACAATAATGCATATTATTATTTCCAAATTTGGAGAAAGAATAGGATACAAAGGGCAACAAGCCCATTGCAAAAATAGAAAAAATATTATTATTATTATTATTATTATTATTATTATTATTTCTCTCAACAAAAGACAGAAGAGACACTTGCCTGGCGATCATCAGTCCCGAAACACCCGTCTCCAGGCCTCGGTCAGCATCTTCAAATGAGAAGATATCCCCGTTTCCTGGGATGAAGGAGAAACAAAAAGGAGGGATTCAGAAAGAAAGCCTAAGCCGAGGGAGAGGAGGAAAAAAAAGGAAAGGCAGACCTACCAAAGAGAGGCATCGGGCTGGCAATTTTGGCACACTCCGCAATGTATTCCCAGTCGGCCACTTTGGTGTACCTCTGCTCTCTCGAGCGGCCGTGAAGCTACCGGGGTTAGAAAAACATTATTATTATTATTATTATTATTATTATTATTTGATACACAACAAGATTAGTACACAGCAAATCAGATCACTATGCTGTCTTCTGTATTTGATCACATGTCGGACACTTCCCAAGTGTGTGATGTATTGGCAAATAATGCGTGCAGATCCAAGTAGGGTGGCCTTTTGCAGCTGAAGATTGTAATTTTGTCAGCGCCAATTGTATTTAAGTGCAGACCAATGTCTTTAGGCACTGCACTCTGTGTGCCGAACACTACTTGGACCCCCTTGACTGGCTTGTGCCAGAGTCTTTGGAGTTCGATCTTTAAATCCTTGTATTGTGTCAGCTTTTCCAGTTGCTTCTCATCCATTCTGCTGTTATTATTATTATTATTATTATTATTAGTAGTAGAGGTTCGACTGGATGGCCATCTGTCAGGAAGGCTTTGATTGTATCTGATTTTTTCAAGCACTTTCCTGAGCATAGCCACCTCCATACCACCTGATACTTATTATGATAGAATAATAATAAAATAAAATAATTATTAATTATATACGTTTATATTATTATTATTATTATTATTATTATTATTATTATTATTATGGTTGCAACTAATGTGAAGGGAGTGGTGATGATGACAACAATAACAACTTCAGGAAGATTGCAGTTTGTCTAAAGTCTGAAAGGGGTTGATTAGTAATCATAATCTTTTCTATCCATAATAAAAGTGAAAATGTGTATGAAGAAGAAGAAGAAGAGGAGGAAGGAGAAGAAGAAAAAGAAAATGAAGAAGAGGAAAAAAGGAGAATGAAGAGAATGAAGAAGAAGGAGAAAAGGGAGAGAATGAAGAAGAGGTGGAGGTGGAAGAAGAGAAGAAGAAGAGGAAGGAGAAGGAAAAAAGAAAACAAAGAGTAAAAAGAAGTGGAGGAGAAAAAAAGAAGTCAATGAAGAGGAGGAGGAGGAAAAAGAAGGAGAAAAAGGAGAGAATGAAGAAGAGGAAGAAGAAAGAGAAAAAGTGAATGAAATGGAAGAAAAGCAGGAGCAAAAGAAGAAGAGAATGAAGAGGAGGAAGGAGAAAAAGAAGAGGAAGAAGAGGAGGAGGAAGAAGAAGGAGGAGAAAAAGAAGAAAAAAGGAAGAGGAGGAAAAGGTGGAGGAAGAAGGAGAGAAAGAAGAGGAAGAGGAGAAAGAAGGAGAAAAATAAGAACAACAAGAAGAAAAAGAAAGAAAAAGGCGAGAAAAAAGAGAAAGAAGTAGTGGCGGAGGAAGAAGAAGGGAAAGAAAGGAAGAAAAGGTAGAAAAAGAAGAAGAGGAAGAAAAAGAAGAAAAAAAGAAGAGGAGGAGGAGGCAGAAGAAGTGGCAGAGAAAGAAGAGTAGGAAGAAGTGTGCTCCAAAGGAAGCCGCTCACCGTGACCATGGAGGCTCCCCATTCCCGGAGCCTGGGGATGACCTTGTGGGCCAAGTGGGCTTTCTCTTGGAGGCCGGTCCGGATCTTGACAGTCAGTGGCACGTCCAGCACCTGTCCCAATACAGGAGAAGACTGTATATATATCCTATATCTATTCTTCTATACGTTCTAGCAGGATAGTGCTATGCTTCCAAAGGCTTGGGTCACTCACGTAGTCCATGCCACGGACGATCTGCTCGAACTTGTTGGTGCGGGCCATTAAGGCGCATCCTCCGCCCTGAGAAGAAGAAAGAAAAGGGGCTCTCGATTACACTAGGAGAAGAACTCTAATACATAAGATAGGGAGCAATGGGGTGGAAGGGACAGCTACCTTGTTATAGATGAGGTCAATGGGGCAGCCGACGTTGATGTCGACAAAGTCTGCCTCGATGGTACGGTTGAGGAGTTCGGCACACTTGGTCATTGTGTCCGGAAAGGCACCTTCCAGCTGTAAATAAAGAGGTTTGGACTGTGCTTTGACTTGAATATCAAGCAAAAAGTGGGTGCTAGAAATAATATAATAATAAATAATAATAATAAATAATAATAATAGAAAGGACATTTAATCAACTACCAAACTCACAAATTTTGTATTTTGTCTGTTTGTTTGCTTTGTTCTGTTAGAAATGTAATATAATTGACTGGTTGTCCTGATATTATAGAAATAATATGAAAGCTGACAGGCACAAGCTGGGGATCACAACCAGACACAGTGAAGACATCTGCCCTTGTGCTTTGCCACTCTGCTGATGAATACGTATGCCCAGTGTGGAATACATCTCATCGCGTTAAAACAGTGGGTGTGGCTCTTAATGAGACATGGCACATTATCACAGGATGTCTACGCCCATCACTGCTGGATGAATTATACTGTTTAGCTGGTATTGCACAACCTGGCATACATTGGGAAGTAGGAGCCAACAATGAAAGGACTGAGGTAGTGACATCTCCGGCCCATCCTCTGTTTGGATATCAGCCACCACGCCAATGCCTTAAATCAAGAAATAGTTTTCTAAGATCTACTCACAGGAATACCTCAGCAAGCGAGAGTTCAAAAGTGGCAGGCTATAACCCAGAACCTCAATCAGTGGCTGAGACTAGATGAGAAACTTCCTCCTGGGCATACAGAAGGCTGGGCAATTTGGAAGGCGCTAAACAGACTGTGCTCTGGCATCACGAGATGCAGAGCCAACCCTAAGAAATGGGGCCACGAAGTGGAGTCCACGACATGCAAGTGTGGAGAAGAGCAAACCGGAGATCACCTACTACAATGCAGTCTGGGCCCTGCCACATATACAATGGAGGATGTTCTCACAGTGACACCGGATGCACTCTAAGTGGCCAGCATGGAACCCTCCCGACAGATGGCTACCCAACCTCATGAAGAAATAGGGTAATAGGAAGATAGAATCCTCGAGGTGGAAGGAAACCCGAAGGACCATCCAGTCCAACCCTTTTTGGCCAGGCAAGAAAGGCACAACCAAAGCCGTCTTGCCCTCACCTGGACGCCAAAGAGGTCCTCTGTGTGGTGCCTCTTCAGCAAAGCCCATTCGGATGACTGCCCTTGCAGCAGATTGGTGCAGACGGCCATCTCTCCACAGGTGACGTCTGCCCCGTAGCGCTTGCAGATCCTCCGGAAAGGCAAGTTGCCACACTGCGGGATTGAGGAAAGCAAGAAGAGTGTGTGCTATTTCTGCCTCCCTGAAGCTGAGAAAGTGTGACTCATACAGAGTGTTGAAGCCCGGCAGCTAGGGCCACTCGCCATCTCCTTACCGTAGTTAAAGGAGCCAAATAAAGCTTGCCATCAAGATCCAGCTAGCAGAGAAAAAGAAAAGAAAACAGCACTCTTTAGTGGTCGATCCCAGGTACTAAAAATATCTGCTATATTCCAGATTCGTTCCATGGTTAGAAAACAGTGCCCTCTTATGGTCACTCCCAGGTACTAAACGTATCTACTATATTCCTGATACTTTCCATGGTTAGCAAACAGCACCTCTAGTGGTCACTCCCAGGTACTCACTCTATCTATCTATCTATCTATCTATCTATCTATCTATCTATCTATCTATCTATCTATCTATCCAAAAACGCTCTGTGCATAATGAGTACCTTAAAAACAAAAGAACCAATGAACGAAATCACACCAAATTTGGCAACAAAACGTCTCACAACACAAGGAGTGACCATCACTCAAAAATCTATGATTTTGTCATTTGGGAGTTGTAGTTGCTGAGATTTATAGTTCACCTACAATCAAAGAACATTCTGAACTCCATCAACGATGGAATTGAACCAAACTTGACAGACAGAACTCCCATGACCAACAGAAAATACTGGAAGGGTTTGGTAGGCATTGACCTTTAGTTTGGGAGTTGCAGTTCACCTACATCCAGAGAACACTGTGGACTTGAACAATGATGGAACTGGACCAAACTTGCCACAAGCACTCAATATGCCCAAATATGAACACAGATGGAGTTTGGGGGGGAATAGACCTTGACATTTGGGAGTTGTAGTCACTGGGATTCACAGTTCACCTACAATCAAAGAGCATTCTGAATCCCACAAACGACAGAATCAGGGCAAACTTCCCACACAGAACCCCATGACCAATAGAAAATACTTAATTAAGGCCATCCAGTCCAACTCCATTCATCAGGGCAAGAACACATAATCAAAGTCCTCCTGACAAAGAGCCATCCAGCCATAGATACAGATAGATAGATATGATTCACACACACACAGATATAGTATCATAGATTTGAAAGGGACCCCTAAAGAAGGACAATGATATGTTGCATGTTCCAGGGTGGGCAAACCAGACACTCTCCACATCAACACTGACAAAGAAACAGCAAAAAAATACCGTTTACCCACAAGCAGAAAGAAATTACATATATTAGAAACCAACACTTTCTCATTACTTTATTTTCCAGATCAACAGACTGGGCCACAGCAAAGCGTGACAGGGGACACTTAGTATATTATATTCCTGATGGAGTCCCTGGATAGCCAACAGCACGTCTAGTGGTCACTCCCAGGTAATATATACACCTACTATATTCCTGATGCATTTCATTGTTAGAAAACAGCACCTCTAGTGGTCAGACCCAGGTACTTAACATATCTACTATATTCCTGATACATTTCATGGTTAGGAAACAGCACCTCTAGTGGTTACTCCCAAGTACTAAATCTATATACAGGTTGAGGCAGCATAACTTCCTTTTTTAAAATGCACGCCATTCAGTTGGTTGAAGAAGTAGCTAGTGGTCTCATTCGAGAGGCGGGAGTATAAAGTTTTGTGCTGACACAGTTCAGTTGCCATCATGCTTCGGAACAGTGAGGAGTGTGCTTTTGCCATTGAGGCCTACTTTTCGAGCGGATTTGGAGTGGCCAGCCCGCTCTCCAGATTTGGCCCCTTGTGATTTTCAAGGACCCTACAAGATTTGAAAACCAATAACCAGGAAGAAATTGCCAACATAATGCCTGCCATGCTGGCAAGAGTCATGACAAATGCCAGAAATTGGTTTACTCAGTGTAAACCAATTTCCATCATTTTCCTTTCTATTTCACTAGCAATTAGCTGTTCATATTGTTGGTGCAGTTTTTTTAATTCTCCTTGTATTCTCATCTTTGTTCCTTTTTCTATTTCTATTTCTAATTCTTTTGTCCTAATTTTTGCCAACAACTCCAGTTGGGCCTTATTTTTTCCTTTGAACCAAATCGAGTTTTGTTGTATCAGTAACCCTCTAATTACTGCTTTTCCAGCCTCCCAAACTATTCCCTCCTTCATTCCTTCTTTAGAGTTGTCCTTTAAGTAATTAATAATTCCTGTTCTAAGTTTCTCTCTATGTGACTTAATTTTCAAAATGTAAGTGACTTAATTTTCAAAATGTAATCATTCATTCTCCAAGCTCTATTTCTTTTGTATCCCACTCTTAATTTCATTAATATTGGGTTATGGTCGGCTAATACTCTAGGTAATAACTCAATTTTCTCTGTTTTCCCCACTAGTTCCTTAGTACCAAATATCAAGTCAATTCTTGAGGATGTGCCATGTCTATGTGAATAATATGAATACTCTTTTCTTGTTGGGTTGTGGACCCTCCAAATATCATAAAGTTCCCAATGCTGGATTTCCCTTAAGAAGGATCCCGGGAGTTTGCCTTCCTTTCTGTCCTTTTTTACTTTACTATCTCTATCCTCTTTGGGCACCATGACTCCATTAAAATCCCCCATCCATAACATTTCCTTTTCACCATATTCTGCTAATATGCGTGTTAGCTTTTTGTAGAATGCTTTTTGTTTGTTGTTGGGAGCATACACTCCAACTAATAGTACAGGGTTTTTTTGAATACACACCTTTATTATTAATATTCTACCTTCCTCATCACAAAATATTTTCTCTGGTGTCAGTTCATTTCTTATATAGAACAGTACTCCATTGGTCTTTTTGTTGTTACATGCTGTAAATAATTGCCCCAACCTTTCCTTTTTTAACAGGTGACTATCCTCATAAATCAGATGTGTCTCAACCAAACATGCTATGTCTGGTTTGATTTTCTGCAAGTAATGAACCACTTTCTTGCGTTTATAGCCGTTATTTAAACCGTTAATGTTGGAAGCTATAATTTTTACACTTTGTATAGACATTTTAATCTACTCTACCCCATCCTATCCCCCCCACCCCCCACCCTTTCCAATAAGAAAAGAAAATACATTACATTTCCTGATACATATTACATTGCTCTTAATGTTCCATTATTTACTAGTCTATTCCCCCGCTGTTCCTTCTTCTTCTTCCACTTCTTCATCATTTTCCTCTTTTTCTTCATCCATTTGAGCGCTCTCCTTCTCGTTTTCCTTCCGCTCTGGCTCTCTCCTTTCCTGTAGCACCCCTTTACCCCTTCCATGTCCTTGTCTCTCATCGCCTGCATGCAGTCTTTCTCCATCCGGGAAATCCTGGGCATATTTCCTTAGAAATTGTTCAACCTTCCCTGAATCTGTAATATAGTGTCTCTTTGCCTTATGGTAGAAGGAGATCCCCTGTGGAAACAGCCAGCGAAATGGGGTTCCTCTGCTCTTCAATTTAACCACCAGTGCATTGAATTCTTTTCTTTTTCTGAGAAGCCTTCCTGGGATCTCCTTCATCATTAATATTTTCTTCCCCTCAATCACAATTGGGGATTCATATTGTTTTTTCAGCACTATCTCCTTAAATGTTTTGGCAACAAATTGAATTATACAATCCCTAGGTACTTTTTTTTGTCTTGCGAAGGCTGAGTTGATTCTGAAACATGTTGAGATTGAAGCATGAATAATGTCCAAATCTTGCTCTTTCAGTAGCCCTGCCAGCATATTAGCTATGAAAGAGATGAGGCTTTCCCCTTCCAGGCCCTCCCTGAGACCTCGAATCCTCAAGAGAGCACTCACAGGCTTTCAGCTCTTGCATTGCTATGGCATCTAAGACCTGTTCATGTTGGACCTCATAGGTTTGATTCTGTTCTTCCAGTCTTTCCACTCTCTTTTTAACAGATTTTTGATCTTTATCCAATTTTGCAAACTTATTGTCCATTTGGTCTTGCCTGTTAGCAATTTTTTGTACATCCAGCTGTAGTGAGCCTACAGTGAGCTGTAGTGAGCCTATTGCTTGTGTCAGGTTTTCAAACATTGATTTAATCTCCAGGAGGGTTTGGTCTGGGTTTGATGTTGATGTTGGAGTTGAAGTTGGGGTTGGAGTTGCTGCTGCCATGGAGGCTTGTTTTTTTGTTTTTTCATGGGCTGAAGGGATTGTGGCATATGATGATATCAAGCCTTTCATCCCGGGGCCCGTCACTTTGGGGGAGCGTTTATCCATTTTCCCCCCACTCCTTCTCTTGTATGTCTCTGGAATGTATCTGGTATGTATCTGGTTCTTAAACTTTAATTTTTTTCCCCTTTTCTTCTCCTTCTCCTCTCCTTCACACCCCCTCCTTCTCGCTCAAGGCCGTCCGGTTCCGTCTGTAGACAAAACAAATGTGTCTCTCTTTACTGCTTGTAGGAATCTGTCAGCGTGGGTAGGGGGGGGGGGGCAGACAGGACAGGTGTACTTAGCCCTTAAACATAAAAGGGAAAAGTGTTCTTTAATCCAAATTTTACTCTTCCGAATTTTAGATCAATTTAAGTCCTTAAGACTGCCCATCTTCTGAACTGGAGGACATCTGAATAAGCCTTGTACATAGTCTTTTATTACGACCTGCCTCTTCTGCAGAGTATTTCAAAGTATTTCAAAGTCTTTCAGTGCAACCTTTGCACTAGCAACACAGTTGTATTGAGGCTATTTCCAAGAGTCAGCTTGGGAAATTATCTTGCCTCCAGCAGGAAAGTCCAAATATTTCACTCTAAAGGAGCTTATTTATAGCTTCAGTGCTCAGTGCTAAAACAAATAAACGTAAATCATGTGCTTACTTAGAAAAAGTCTGAGCCTTGCATGAAGAGGGAATCCGGAGACGGGATATCTTTCTTTGTGCCTTTAAGCTGTCCGTTTCCAGATGCTTTTTGTTGGCAACTGCTCTCCTCTCTTCGTCTCGCCCGAAGATGAGGAATTTGAGGGGTGTAGATGCTTTCCACCCCCCGACCGTCTCTCCGATGCACGGAGCTGAGGCTCCATGCGACTTTCTCTCCTCAGCTCCAACCGGAAGTCACCCTGTATTATATTCCTGACTAGCCCTCCCCTGTCACACGTTGCTGTGGCTCACATGGGGGTTCTGTGTGGGAGGTTTGGCCCAATTCTATCGTTGGTGGGGTTCAGAATGCTCTGTGATTGTAGGTGAACTACAAATCCCAGCAACTACAAATCCCAAATATCAAGATTCTATTTTCCCCAAACCCCACCAGTGTTCACATTTGGGCATGTTGAGTTATCATGTAGAATTTGGTCCAGATCCATCATTGTTTGAGTCCACAATGATATCTGGATGTAGGTGAACTTCAAGTCCCAAACTCAAGCTCAATGCCAACCAAACCAGTATTTTCTGTTGGTTATGGGAGAACTGTGTGCCAAGTTTGGTTCAATTCCATTGTTGGTGGGGTTCAAAATGTTCTTTGATTGTAGGTGAACTATAAATCCCAGCAACTACAACTCCCAAATGACAAAATCAATTTTTTTGAGTGAAGGACATACGTTGGGTTGTTAGGTGGCTTGTGTCCAAATTTGGTGTCAATTCCTCCAGTGGTTTTTGAGTTCTGTGAATACCACAAACGAACATTACATTTTTATTTATATAGATGGGTTAGGAAACAGCACCTCTAGTGGTTGATCCCAGGTATTAAACCTATATATTATATTCCTGATGCATTCCAGGGTTAGGAAACAGTACCTATAGTGGTCACTCCCAGGTATGAAATCTATATATTATATTACGGTTACATTCCATGGTTAGAAAACAACACCCTCTAGTGGTCACTCCCAGGTATCAGAAATAGAAAACAAAGGAAAAAAGGAGGGAATGTGGTCATCAGAAGTACCTTTCGCTTCTCACTGGGTCTCAGCTTCACGAGGTCTTCATCTGTCACAGCACCCAAGGTTTTGGGAAGCATCGCATCCACCAGAGGATCTGAATCCAGCCTAGTTGGTGATGCGGTGTCTTCATTTGGCAGCTGTTCCGCATCTGGTGCTTCAGCATCAATAGGTTTGCAGTCCAATCTGTCTCGGTCCCCGGCGTTGGTTTTGCTGAGGTGGCAGAGATATCTCTGCGCCTTCTCAAAGGGGAACTTCCTCTTGCGCAGCCTCTGCTGGAGCTCCTTGCTCAGACTGTTCCGGACCGCTGTCTTCCCCTCCCACTCTTTCACGCGCTCTGTGTCCACTGCGTTCTTCCGGTCCGGCCCAAAATGCGCACCGGCAAAGCGGCATGTGGCCCCGTAAGTGCACTTGCCGAAGGTTTGGAAGAGCACACAGTGGTTGCCCAGGTCCGGGGGCTTCGCCGCCAGGTATTCCTCCACATCGTGAAGGAAGCGGCACCGTGGGCCGAAGAAACACTTCTCAGTGCGCTCCTTCAACAAAAAAAAAAAGCATTATCATTGGGCTTGATGTCTCCCCAATTATTTCACCACCCAATCCCTCCTGACAGATGGCCATTCAACTTGCCATAATGGAGGACCCCTTCCTACAAGGGGTATCCCCTTGAATTTCTGCACAATGAGACAACAAAAGCAGGGGGAAAATCCTGCAAAGTTTCAGAAAGATTCGTTCATCTACTGACTTTTAAACAAAATCACAGCTTGAAACGCTTTGAAACAAAAATCTTTAGTAATCTCTCCGAAACGTTTTGGAGGCTTCTGTTTCATTTCGTAATGCTTTGGAGTGGGGGTGGGGTGCAGGAGAAGTTCCCATTCTGATTAATAATTCAGAGATTTGTATTAACAACAAATCATACAAATCTCCAAATTACAAAACGAACCTCCGAAGTGTGTCTTGGAACTGTTTTTCCCCGTAGAGACATTCAATGTGTTGTGAAAGGCTTTCATGGCCAGAATCGCTGGGTTGCTGTGAGTAGCTCAATAGGTGAAATTCTACAGATATATAAACCCAATTTTCCTAGTTTCCAACAGACCTCATAACCGCTGAAGATGCCTGCCATAGATGTAGGCGAAACGTCAGGAGCGAATGCTTCTAGAACATGGCCATACAGCCTGAAAAAACTTACAACTCTGGTACTTGATTGTTTGCTGTCTGGAGTTCCTCTGTTTCTTTATTTACTGTCTTGATTCTGGTATTTTTAAATACTGGTCACCAGATTTTCATTTTTATGGTTTACTCCTTTCTGTTGAAATTGTCCATGTGCTTGTGGATTTCAGTGGCTTCTCTGTGTAGTCTGACGTGATATTTGTCAGAGTGGCATGAAAGTTACTGCAGATTAATTCAACTAGAGAAGTCAGTGATAGTAGAGTGCTTGATGAACCAACTTGGAAACAGAATATGATTTGAGAACACAAACATGCTAGACCACTCTGATCACCATCATGTCAGACTACACAGAGAAGCCATTGAAACCCACAAGTACGTGGGCAATTTCAACAGAAAGGAGGAAACCATGGAAATGAACAAAATCTGGCTACTAGTATTAAAAAAACTCTAAAATCAGGACAGTAAATAAATAAGAAACACCACTTGGAAACAAGGGGATCCCAGACAACAAACAACCACTTGCCAGTCAACACTTCCCAAACAAAGGATGCCTCCAGGCAACAACACTGATTGACTTTGCAGCTCCAAGACTACTCAATGCTAATCCAGCTGGCTAACTGTACCATTCACATTTGGTTGAAACAGACAAGGGTACTCTCTCTCACCCCGGACATTATTCCACAGATACACACACACACACACTCCACTTGCCTCATTTCTAACAGAACTCTGAACAAACCTCTGAGAAAGCCTGGCACAGATACAGGCAAAACATCGGGAGAGAATGCTACTGGAACATGGCCACACAGCCCGAAAAATCACAGCAACCCATGGACCTCTGAAGCTTTGCACACTAACATCGGAGCCCTGTCTCTCTGTCCCACAAAGAGCCCTTCTTGTCTTACCTGGACCACCGAGGGACACAGGCGGACCTTCTCGAAGTGGGTGGGCTTCATGCAGGGCCGGCTCTTGTTCTGCCCTCTCGCCCGCTTTCGCCCTGGCTTGCTTTGATCCTCATCCCCTGCTTTTTGGTTCTCATCATCTTCCACTTTTTGAATTTTGGGAAGAGGTTCGTCTTTGCTTTGCTCCGCATTCTTCTCTAGAACGTCCTCCTTCTCCTCTGCCTCTTTGTTCCTTTCGGACTCTCCTGCCTGGTCGAGGCAAGAGCGAAACGCTTCTTTTGTCGAAAGATATCTAGCAGGGGGGAAAAGAGAAGAAAAGAAGATTCATACAATGGCCGTTCAGTTACAATACAAATAAAACTCTCAATAATAATAATAATTCAATATAATAAGACAAATAAAACGCTCAATGATATTTAAATAATAATAATAATAATAATAACACAAGCACGTGAGAAGGAGCCTTCTCTACTTATGTGTAAACGCATACTGGTAATAGGTTGTTGTAGGTTTTTCGGGCTATATGGCCATGTTCTAGAGGCATTTCTCCTGACGTTTCGCCTGCATCTATGGCAAGCATCCTCAGAGGTAGTGAAGTCTGTTGGAACTAGGAAAAAAGGTTTATATATCTGTGGAATGACCAGGGTGGGACCTCTGAGCAACCTCTGAGGATGCTTGCCATAGATGCAGGTGAAACGTCAGGAGAAATGCCTCTAGAACATGGCCATATAGCCCGAAAAAACCTACAACAACCCAGTGATTCCGGCCATGAAAGCCTTCAACAATATATACTGGTAATGGCTCGTGTGATGATTCCAGTTTCTCCGCTTGATCTAAGTTTGTGCCCTGGGATATATCGGGGGACACGGTGCTCCAAATAGGCCGGACCAAAGCTGTATAGGACTTTATATGCAATGACTGCCATCTTGAATTGAACCTGGGACCGGACAGGCAAGCAATGGAGCTGCTTCAGGATAGGCATAGTAGAAGTCTGAGCAAACTGCAATTTCCAGGCGCTTTTCAAGGGCAGACCTATGTAGAGCGCATTGCAATAGTTCAATCTGGAGGTAATCAATGTCTGCACCACCGAGGCCAGGTCTGGAGTATCCAGGAACGGCACACAAGTTTTAGTTGTGTGAACACCTACCTAGTCACCGCTGCCATCCTGGCTTCCAGGTTTAAAGCAGAGTCTAGGATGACCCCCAAACTGCGCATGTATTTTCAGAGTGAGTGCAACCCCATCCAGCTCAGGTTGGAATGACATTCCCAAATCCCTTCTCCGAGACACCAGTAGTACCTCTGTCTTGTCTGGATTGAGCTTCAACTTGTTCACCCTCATTCAGTCCATCACTGCCTTCAGACAATGGCTCAAGAGAAGGACCACTTCCTTGGCATCAGGTGAAAAGGAGTGATAGAATGGGGCATCATCTGCATACATCCCAGTTTCCATCCCAGTTATATCCTACCTTGCTCATGCCTAGCGTTATTTTTTTAAATATTTTTAAATTTTAATTTTACATTTGGCCCAGCCATAGGTTTTAAATGCTTGTTGTGTTAATGTACTGCTTATATTTTATTATATTTTATTTTGTTATGAGATGTATTTTAACTGTTTTGTATTGTTTGTTTGCTATTGTTTTATTATTGATGTGTTGTGGGCTCGGTCTCATGTAAGCCGCACCGAGTCCCTTGAGGAAATGGTAGTGGGGTATAAATAAAGTTTATTATTATTATTAATATGATTATACAGATGATAGGTAAAGGTAAAGGATTCCCCTGACATTATGTCTAGTCGTGTCCAACTCTGTGGGGTGGTGCTCATCTCCATTTCTAAGCCGAAGAGCCAGTGTTGCCTGTAGACACCTCCAAGGTGATGCAGCTGGCATGACTGCATGGAGTGCCATTATCTTCCTGCTGAAATGGTACCTATTGAGCTACTCACATTTGCATGTTTTTGATCTGCTAGGTTGGCAGAAGCTGGGGCTAACAGCAGGAGCTCACTTTGCTCCCCAGATTTGCACCACCGGCCATTCAGTCAGCAAGTTCTGCACCTCAGCGGTTTAACCCGCTGCACTACTGGGTGCTCCATCCATACAGATGGAGATGGCCCTGATTTTTCTCCCACCCTGGATATTCCACCTCATTTTCCTAGTTTCCAAGAGACCTCACAACCTCTGAAGAAGCCTGCCAGAGGACAGGAGCAGGATTCAAAACGATCTTGACAGATTAGAGAGATGGGCCAAAACTAGCAAAATGAAGTTCAACAGTGACAAATGCAAGATACTCCTCTTTGGCAGGAAAAACAAAATGCAAAGATACAGAATGGGGGACAATGCCTGGCTCGAGAGCAGTACGTGTGAAAAAGATCTTGGAGTCCTCGTGAACAACAAGTTAAACATGAGCCAACAATGTGATGTGGCGGCAAAAAGAGCCAATGGGATTTTGGCCTGCATCAATAGGAACATAGTGTCTAGATCTAGGGAAGTCATGCTACCCCTCTATTCTGGTTTGGTTAGACCACACCTGGAATATTGTGTCCAATTCTGGGACCCACAATTGAAGAGAGATATTGACAAGCTGGAATGTGTCCAGAGGAGGGCAACTAAAATGATCAAGGGTCTGGAGAACAAGCCCTATGAGGAGCGGCTTAAGGAGCTGGGCATGTTTAGCCTGAAGAAGAGAAGGCTGAGAGGAGATGCGATAGCCATGTATAAATATGTGAGAGGAAGTCACAGGGAGGAGAGAGCAAGCTACCTATCCGACCGCATCTCGGCCTATGAACCCACCAGGACTTTGAGATCTTCCGGGGAGGCCCTGTTCTCGATCCTGCCAGCTACACAAGCACGGCTGGCGGGGACGAGAGATAGGGCCTTCTCGGTGGTGGTTCCCCGGCTGTGGAACGCCCTTCCCACAGACATCAGATTGGCACCATTGCTAATGGTATTCCGCAAAAAAGTAAAGACCTGGTTATTTGTGCAGGCGTTCGAATAATTAGTGCAATGACTGGAAATGACATAGGAATGGAACAACGGATGATGAATCCGGATCATGTTTTCAGTGATGAGACGCTAGTGATTGGTTATGATAGTAATTGTGTTCTAACTGTGTATTAGATTAGGTTATTAACTGTTTTTATATTGGTACATTGAATTGTGCTGTGTCTTGTGTCTTGTGAACCGCTGTGAGTCGCCTCCGGGCTGAGAACAGCGGTATAGAAGTAAAGTAAATAAATAAATAAATAAATTGTTTTCTGCTTCCTTGGAGACTAGGACGCGGAACTATGGCTTCAAACTACAAGAGAGGAGATTCCATCTGAACATGAGGAAGAACTTCCTGACTGTGAGAGCCGTTCAGCAGTGGAACTCTCTGCCTCGGAGTGTGGTGGAGGCTCCTTCTTTGGAAGCTTTTAAACAGAGGCTGGATGGCCATCTGTCAGGGGTGATTTGAATGCAATATTCCTGCTTCTTGGCAGGGGGTTGGACTGGATGGCCCATGAGGTCTCTTCCAAATCTTTGATTCTATGATCTATGCCATAGATGCACGCGAAATGTTAGGAGAGAATGCTTCTGGAACATGGCCATACAGCCCGAAAAAATACAACAATTTAAATAATGATAAAGCAAGTAATACATCCGAATAGGGTATATACAAACCTCCAGATTGTAATATTTCAAGCAATACACACAAATAAAAATCGAAATAATATTTCCCTATATTGACATAAATAAAAATCTAAATAATACTATTTTAAATAATCACAAAAGAAGCCATGAAAACAATACATTTAAGATTTAAACAGTAATATTTCAACAATAATAATACTCACTGGGCTTTAATAGGGGCCACCCCACTGGCCTCCATGGCAGGGCTTCTGGGCATCCTCTAGAAGCCACGTGGGAGGGAAAGGCACTCTTTTCCTCATCCACTTCCGGCCCACTTCCGGGTTTCTCTGGCGGAGGGCTAGAGCGCCTCTAACCATGGCGCTCTAGGCCTCTGGCGGAGGGGGGCGTGTCCCCGGGAAGACCGAAGTGGGCGTGGCTTAAGAAGCTCCCTGCTCTAAGATCCTTTTCTGGCAGGAAGGGGAGAGGGAAGGGGAAAGGAACAGATATGAATGTGTCCAGAGGAGGGCAACTAAAATGATCAAGGGTCTGGAGAACAAGCCCTATGAGGAGCGGCTTAAGGAGCTGGCCATGTTTAGCCTGAAGAAGAGAAGGCTGAGAGGAGATGTGATAGCCATGTATAAATATGTGAGAGGAAGTCACAGGGAGTCACATTGCATGATATAAACATGCAATGAATAGACATCAACAGTCAAGTATAGGGCAGATATATGTCCTTTATCTATGCCAATGTTCCCCAATCAAGAAATCTCACCAGTTGAAGAAGAAGCCACCGAGGTAATTTTATTCAATCCAGCTGGAAAGGATGACAGCACTCTGTCATATCTAACCCAGTGGATCTCAACCTTCCTAATGCCTTAATACAGTTCCTCATGTTGTGGTGACCATAACATTATTTTCGTTGCTACTTCGTAACTGTATTGTGGAAGGCTTTCATGGTCGGAATCACTGGGTTTTTGTAGTTTTTTTCGGGATATATGACCATGGTCTAGAGGCATTCTCTCCTGACGTTTCGCCTGCATCTATGGCAAGCATCGACAGAGGTGGTGAGGTCTGTTGGAACTAGGAAAAAGGGTTTATATATCTGTGGAATGACCAGGGTGGGACAAAGGACTCTTGTCTGCTGGAGCTAGGGGTGAATGTTTCAACTGACCACCTTGATTATTTATTTATTTATTTATTTACTTTGCTTGTATACCGCAATTTCTCAGCCTTGTAGGCGACTCAACGCGGTTTACAACAAGAGCAAAAGTCAATCCAAAGGCATACCAAATTTAAAAACCATTAACAGCATAATATACAAAATGACACATCAATAACAACACATTAACGTCTCGTAACTAGAATCGTGATCCAATTCGTCTTCCATAATTCCGTTTCCTATATTCATCGTGTACATTGCATTGTTTAACCAAATGCCTGTTCGAACAGCCAGGTTTTTAGTTTTCTTCGAAACACCATTAACGAAGGGGCTGATCTAATGTCCATGGGAAGGGCGTTCCACAGCCGAGGGGCCACCACAGAAAAGGCCCTGTCCCTCGTCCCCGCCAGCCGTGCCTGTGATGCAGGCGGGATCGAGAGCAGGGCCTCCCCAGAAGATCTTAGAGTCCTGGTGGGTTCATAAGCAGAGATACGTTTGGATAGGTAGCTTGGGCCAGAACCGTTTAGGGCTTTAGATGCCAACGCCAGCACTTTGAATTGAGCCCGGTAGCAAATCGGCAGCCAGTGGAGCTGGTGCAGCAAAGGAGTTGTATGCTCCCTGCGCTCCACTCCTGTTAGTATCATGGCTGCCGCACGTTGGACTAGTTGGAGCTTCCGAGCCGTCTTCAAAGGCAACCCCATGTAGAGCGTTGCAGTAAACGGGATATAACCAGAGCGTGGACTACCGTGGCCAAGTCAGACTTCCCAAGGTACGGGCGCAGCATCTAATGGCCTGACAACGCCTGGAGCAAACTTTTGTTGAGAGGTAATTGGATGTCCTTGTTTGTTTCCTCACTGTTGTTGTACTTCGTAACTGTCATTTTGCTTCTACTACAGTGTTTCTCAACCTTCGTAGTGCCGTGACCCCTTAATACAGATCCTCATGTTGTGGTGACCCCCAACCATAATATTATTTTCGTTGTTGCTTCATAACTGCAATTTTGCTACTGTTACGAATGGTAATGTAAATATCCGATATGCAGGATGTATCTTGATTCACTGGACCAAATTTGGCACAAATACCCAATACACCCAAATTTGAATACTAGTGGGGTTGGGCGAGGGGTTGATTTTGTCAATTGGGAGTTGTAGTTGCTGGGATTTATAGTTCACCTAAAATCAAAGAGCATTCTGAACTCCACCAACGATGGAATTTAACCAAACTTGGCACACAGAAGTCCCACGACCAACAGAAAATACTGGAAGGTTTTAGTGGGCATTGACCTTGAGTTTTAGAGTTGTAGTTCACCTATATTTAGAGAGCACTGTGGACTCAAACAATGATGGATCTGGACCTAACTTGGCACAAATACTCAATATGCTCAAATGTGGTGTTTGGGGAAAATAGATCTTGACATTTGGGAGTTGTAGTTGCTGAGATTTATAGTTTACCTACCATCAAAGAGCATTCTGAACCCCATCAATGATAGAATTGGCCCAAACTTCCCACTCAGAACCCCCATGACCAACACAACATACTGTGTTTTCTGATGGTGTTTGGCGACCCCTCTAACACCCCCTCGCGACCCCCTCAGCGGTCCCGACCCCCAGGTTGAGAACCACTGTTCTACTATAAATCGTCATGTAAACATCTGATATGCAGGATGTATATCCCCCAGCACTTTTTAATCTGTACCCATTACATTTGGCCCGGCCCTAGTTTTATTGTGTTATGGTATATTGTTTTTGTTGTTTCTGTTATTGCTTTAATGTTTTGATTTGCCTTAAGTTGTGTATTTGTTATGCTATTGTTTTATTGAGGCCTTGGCCTTTGTAAGCCGCTTCAAGTCCTTCAGGAGATGCTAGCGGGGTACAAATAATGATAATAATAATAATAATAATAATAATATAATAATAATAATAATAATAATAATAGTGTATTTTCATTCACTGGACCAAATTTGGCACAAATGCCCAATACGCCAATATCTGCTGAATAATGGAGAAAGGCAGGGAGTTTCAGAAAAGCATCTATTTCTGTTTTATTGACTATTCTAAAGCCTTTGACTGTGTGGATCATAATAAATCGTGGCAAGTTCTTGGTGGTCTGGGGATACCAAACCACCTTGTCTCCCTCCTGAGGAATCTGTACAAGGACCAAGTAGCAACAGTAAGAACTGACCATAGAAAACAGACTGGTTCAGGCCTGGGAAAGGCGTACGGCAGGGTTGTATACTCTCACCCAACCTATTCAACTTGCATGCAGAATACATCATGCGTTGTACAGGGCCTGACGAATGCAAGGCTGGGGTAAATATTGCTGGAAGAAATATTAACAACCTTAGATATGCAGATGATATCACTTTGATGGCTGAAAACGAGGAGGAGCTGAGGAGTCTTCTAATCAAGGTGAAAGAAGAAAACGCAAAAGCTGGGTTGCTGTTAACCATAAAGAAACCAAGATTCTGGCAACAAGACCGATTGATAACTGGAAAACAGAGGGAGAAAACGTAGAGGTAGTGACATACTTTGTATTTCTAGGTGCAAAGGTGACTGCAGACAGGAAATCAGCTTATTTCTTGGGAGGAGAGCAATGACCAATCTTGATAAAATAGAGAAGAGTAGAGACATCACACTGGCAACGAAGATCCGCATAGTTAAAGCAATGGTATTCCTCGTAGTCACCTATGGATGTGAGAGCTGGACCATAGGGAAGGCTGAGTGAAGGAAGATAGATGCTTTTGAACTGTGGTGTTGGAGGAAAGTTCTGAGAGTGCCTTGGAGTGCGAGAAGATCCAACCAGTCCATACTTCAGAACTAAACCTCGACTGCTCATTGGAGGGAAGGATATTAGAGGCCAAGATGAAGTATTTTGGGCACATAATGAGAAGATAGGAAAGCTTGGAGAAGACAATTATGCTGTGGAAAAAGGAAGGAAAAAGGAAGAGGGGCCGACCAAGGGCAGGATGAATGGATGGTATCCTTGAAGTGACTGGCTTGACCTTGAAGGAGCTGGGGGTGGTGGCAGCCGACAGGGAGCTCTGGCGTGGGCTGGTCCATGAGATCACAGAGTCGGAAGCGACTGAACAAATAAACAACAAACCCAATATGCTCAAATTTGAATACTGGTAGGATTGGGAGCAATTGATTTTGTCATTTGGGAGTTGTAGTTGCTGGGATTTATAGTTCACCTACAATCAAAGAGCATTCGGAACAATTCCTGTTTGCTGTGTGCCATAGGAATGGGTAGGAAATTATTATGGAAGAGGCAGTGGGCGGGGTCATTCAACACCCATGGAGAGAGAAAGGAACCAAGGTGGAGTGGATAGCAAAATGAGCTATAACACAATGTCCCTCGTGAAAAGACAAAGTTTTTGCAGTTTAATAAACTTTTGACATATTTTTTATGATAGAACCAATTACGAAATGACATTTATAGGAACAAAGATCATAATTTCTTGGAACTCTGCCTGGCTAGAGTTCTGATGCTGAACAGTGCACTGCATTCTGGGAAATGTAGTTTAGGACAGTCTTTTGAATCCTTGCATGCTCCAACAGAGTAGATTTCTTCTTGGAAGACCTTCTCAACCTCTGAGGATGCTTGCCATAGATGCAGGCGAAACGTCAGGAGAAATGCCTCTAGAACATGGCTCTATAGCCCGAAAAAACCCACAAGAACCTAGTCTTTTGAATTCTCTGGTATAGAACCCCTCCCTTGCCAAACTGCATTTTCCAGATTTCTGTGCTGTTCCCAGAAAACATGCTCCCTCTGTTCCCCAAACCTTATGTTTTTTTTTTGTCGTGTCAGGAGCGACCTGAGAAACTGCAAGTCGCTTCTGGTGTGAGAGAACTGGCCGTCTGCAAGGACGTTGCCCAGGGGATGCCCGGATGATTTGATGTGCTTTATCATCCTTGTGGGAGGCTTCTCATGTCCCTGCATGAGGAGCTGGAGCTGATAGAGGGAGCTCGTTTTATCATCCCTGTGGGAGGCTTCTCTCATGTCCCCGCATGAGGAGCTGGAGCTGATAGAGGGAGCTCATCTGCCTCTCCCCGGATTCAAACCTGCGACCTGTCGGTCTTCAGTCCTGCCGGCACAGGGGTTTAACCCACTGCGCCACCGGGGGCTCCTCACCTTATGGTGAGAGACCATTGATTTACAGAGGAAAGGGAAGGCACTAAGACAGTCTTTT